GAATGGATGGATGAACAGATGGAGGGATGAACGAATGGATGGATGAACAGATGGAGGGATGAATGGATGGATGAACAGATGGAGGGATGAACGAATGGACGGATGAACAGATGGAGGGATGAACGAATGGACGGATGAACAGATGGAGGGATGAACGAATGGACGGATGAACAGATGGAGGGATGAACGAATGGATAGATGAACAGATGGAGGGATGGACGGATGAATGGAAGGAAGGAAAGACAGATGAACGGATACATGGATCGGAACGTAAAAACTAATGGATGGAAGAACAAAACAAGTAGCTCAGGCTTACCCTTGAGTTTTATCTTGTCCAAGACTCCTCTGCCATGTTGTGTTGTCACACCATCAATATACACCTGCCATAAACCATAGCCAGATTTCCACGACACACAAACGTGCTTCCACCTGCTCAACTCATCACTGACAAAAAATAATGAAACTATTGCACTGTTTCGTCATTCATGACGGTCGCAATCAATATGATACCAAAAAATGACGTCTAAAGACACTAGCAAATAGAGAGACAAGTCCAACAAACAAACAAAGAAAACGATACAAAATAGAATAAACGCAATAAGAAGACTACCACTACTCATAAGAATAATAGACCGCTTGCGCAAATTGGCACTCGCTACTTCACTGGAGGTGCGTGAGCAGAAGCCAGTTTACGTTCCTCGAGGAGGCTAGCGTCATAACAAGCGATGATAATGCAGTCTACAATAAGAACGACAACATCAGCTAGCAACTGTAACTTTTTAAATACCTTGTCAAATTTCCAATTCTGGCTAATGTAGTAGTACTAGTAACCAAGGCTACATCCAGTGATACGGTAAGAGGTAAAGAGGTATTAACGGATGTCCATAGACACAACGTCATGGCGGTCAGGGGACCATTGATGTGTACACGGACGGAAGCGTTCCTCTTCAGTAGAAATACAATATCACGTTCATCTGGAGAAAATACGCGATAGTACACGATAAACATGAAGCACTTCCGACCAATGGAAATAAAGGAATTGCATTACGTCATTACGAAGAAAAACTAATGGAAAATAAGTATCTCAGACCATTTTCAACCAATAGAAAAACAATATTGTTATGGCGTCATTCACGTGGACGAAGGACTTCCTGTATGACGTAATGGATGCTTACCTTTTGATGAATGGTGTTGAGGTGGTGTGCCACCCTCTTGTCGTATGGCTTGTATGATCTTCTCGTGTTGATCTTCACTGATTGTCATCCAGCGTGATTCATTTGACATGCTTGACCAGTCTTTCCATTCTTTCTCTACACTCAAACCCATGACCTCTGATGTGTACATGATAATACAGTAAGTTATTCATAAGATTCACCAGTGTTGACGAAGAGAAAAGGAGAGGACAGGCGACGAGAGGAGGAGAGAGGAGGGTAGGACTCGACTAGACAGGATAGGACAAGACAGGACGGGAGAGAACAGGAGTAAAAAAGGAAGGAAGAGAGGCAACAGGATAGGATGTCAAAAATATAGGTTGTACTTACTATGTATGTACATCGTAGCCAAAGAAGTAGGGAGATTGAACGAGCGATCAGGAAATTGGTAAACCAGAAAAGTACTACAATTTCGTACCATGACCTTTCGTAATTGATAAAAACATAGACATTTTATTGCCAACCATCCTTGCATCTGTACTTCACCGTCTTCCACCATAGGGCTTGAACCATTCACCCACACGTAGGTGACTAAATATTTCATTCCCTTGTCGCAGTAGTTAGCCACATAGTTTCCAGCTTGACCTGTCACTCGGTACCAGGTTTTGGTTCCAAACATGGAGTCTATTTGGTTGATATTATCTAGTAAATCAAGCCTTCGATACTTTGAATCTAGAATCTTGTATTCTTGGCATGGAGAGCTTAGAACTAGAATAGAACAGTGATATATAGTTAAAAAAATAAATGTTCTTGTGAAGAAAATTTGTTTTCGTCTCCGAGGGTGATTTGGAATGAGGAGAGAAAAACTCTCGCTGAATATTTTATTTGATAATCTATACATGAATGAAGCTGGAGATACAAAACTGAGAAAGTTAAAGTACCCGGTATTTTGTAGCATTGTTCTTTGGAGAAAGTGACGTCATCCACAGCCAGTATTGCATTCTCATGGTCTTTTATTCCTTTTATTATCACCTATTTAGAAAAAGAGGGAAAGAGAGTTTTTGTTAGTTCTCTTGCATGGTTTAGTCCTGCTATGACCGTGTCTAACTTTCAATACATCATTTTACCTTCAAGCTTTTGTAGTTGTTGGAGATTTGAAGTTGAATGAAGTTCCACTTGTCGTTGGCACTGTTGTAGCTCCATACTTGTTTAGAGCCATTCTCTGATAGGAACGATACTGACAGGGTTCTCTCAAAGTAGTTCTTCCCGCTGTAAAACCAGAATCTCAAGCACTGCCAACCTTGATCTTGAGGATTAATCATGGGACTGGATATGATACTTGGATTGGCAAGAGACTGGGACAAGCTCAAGAACCTATCTGTGGAATCTGGAATCACATCCATGAAATGAGCAACGTCACGTGTTCGGTTTACCCACCAAACCAATACACCGGATCCTGACACAATTTTCATACCTTGTACAGAAAAATGTTTGAGCATTCCTGGTAGTTTTTTTTCAGCTCTTTTCCATGCTTTGTCTGTCTTCCAGCCGTTACACACCTCGTCGTCATCGAAATAACACGAAGGATTATCTATGGTAATCGTGCAACAGCATGCATTGTCAGTCTAGGTCTGTAATCATAATTTGTGTGTTACATGATTTAATCTCGATTCTCTAACCTTGGTTGATGATAATGGTACAGTGTCCTTCTGTGAAGCTTATGTCGTCCAGAGCTATGTAGCCAGTACTGATGCGTCCGATAATAAGTATCTGTGGAAGTAAAGACAAAGGCTCATTTTTCGTGCGATACACGACGTATGCGCATGTGAATGATGGGTCTAAGCAATCAGATAGAATAAAGTACCCTGCTGCGATTGGCTAACTAACATGAAATTCGTACTTATCCGTGCCGTGTCCCTAGGTAAATTATAAGGTGATCAGAATTAGCTTGGTATAGTATAGATAATCACATAATATATCAAGTATACCTTTCCTGTAGAGTTGTCTGGTAGTTGAACCTGGCCAAAAGTCCATTCATCAGAAGTCCAGTTAGCAGATCGCCACAACCTGATCGGCTTGGTTGTATTCTTAAATGATATCTCAAGTATCGAGTTTGATTTGCTAGGGATAACAAACCAGAATTGTAGACAGACCAACTGGGCTTGGTTCAAGTTCATTACGAGGCAACCATGGCCGTCAGGGATGTTCGATTGTAACAGAAAGTAAGTTCCTGGTAGGAATGACAGATATTGTGCTACATTAACACCACGCTTAGACAAAGCGAGGAGGAAGTTGAAAGAAAGAAAGAAGAACGGAGGCAGGGAACAGGAGTTGAGACGATTGAACTGACGGAATACGTTCACAACATCATTTATTATTCTCCAGGTTTTCTGGCTTTCCTTCCGCAAACTATAACACGCTTAATCCCAGTTCTATATGCAGTGAGTTAGTCCACCCTGACTTAGATCAGCACAGAGGTTGTTTCAGGGTTCTATCCGTGAGTTAGCCATGCCCTGACTTAGATCAGCTCAGAGGTTGTTTCAGGGTTCGATCTTTGAGTTAGCCATGCCCTGACTTAGATCAGCCCAGAGGTTTTTTCAGGGTTCAATCTGTGAGTTAGCCATGCCCTGACTTAGATCAGCCCCTAGGTTGTTTCAGGGTTCGATCTTTGCGTTATAGGCGACTTAGACCAGCCTAGTAGCTGTTTCTGCAGTGTTAGATGTAAAGTACCTTTTTCAGTCATTGTAGTGTGGTCGAAGTGTGGGTAACTATGTGGTACTTGGGTCAGCGCCGGGGAGAAGAACCTCCATTCAAGTGAGTTATTTGGGTATTTTTGAAGCTTGCAAGGCCCATTTTCAAAACCACAAAGCCCTATAGAAAAACATCGTAAAGATCAAGACAAGAAAAGGATCATGTCAGCGGTAAGTCTGGATTGAAACATGAGTACTTGGTTAGATATATGTGTGCGCATGACATTACCTCTTAAACCCTGGCAACGTATATCACTGGAGGACAGATTCGTACAGCTCTGCGCATCAGATGAACAGTACCCTAGATCAATAACCAAGACATTATAGTGGTTATAGATATTGTAATGGTTTAGAAGGAATGAAACAAAACTTACTGCAGGAGGTGAATTGATGAGAATTATCTTGGCAGCCAGGTGTCTTGGAGTTACAAGGCTTAGTTGAACATGGTCCATCAAAACACTGAATGTCAGGACACCCCTTATCTGAAACGATCAATATGAGCTGGTTAACTTAATAGACAGACAGACAGACTGCTAGCTGTAGGGACAGAGTACAGACAGACAGACAGCCCTTCAGACAGACCCCTTGGTGTACAGACAGACAGACCTGCAGGAAGACCGTTTATTGTACAAAAGACAGACAGACAGAAATCTTGTAATATTGTAAATCATCATACTAACCACAGCGTCGTTCATCCATGCCGTCCGGACAGTCTCGTACTCCATCACACAACCTATCAGCTTTAATACATTTTTGATGAGAGCATCTAAAATACCCAGTAGGACAGTCACATTGATCCTCGTCAGATCCATCAAGACATCCATCTATGAGTCCATTACACTGGAAGGTCTTGCTCACGCACTGTCCATTAGAACACCTGAATTCACTAGCCTTGCATGAATATCCTGCAAAACAAGGACCATAATCTCTATCTAGGAATATTTATATCCTACAGATTATTTATAAGAAACAAAAATAGAATCAGTTTTCACGGAAAATTAACTGAAAAACTGATTAAAGGTTTGAATGATTTTGGACGTTAGTGCACTATTTTCCATCCCTCTTTAATACTTCTTACCCAAAAAACCATTGGGGATATTTTTGCGTTAAGTTGTTTACAACAGGGATTTAGTAGTATATGTCGCACGTATCAGAACAGGGCAATATTGCAGACGTGTAGTCCAAGGTATTTTACGGAAGATTTTGTATTACCGTGAAAAGCTCACAGCACGAACACCGTCGTAACACGGCAAGGCGTACCAATCGCATTAATTGCCTGAGAATTTACTCTTTATCCAATCAAATCCGCCAATGTTACGGTACTGCCAGACCAATCACTTTGCGCGGGAAAAATCCGCCAATCAAAATTCTAGAAAACATCACGGACACGGTAAGGCACGCATAGAGCAGTTTTCGTATGACTGTGAAAAGCTCAGTGCCGTAAGCGTGACGTGCCGTGCCGTGACCGTGATACTTTCTCGAATTTTAATAGGCAGATTTTTTCCCACGTGCAATATGATTGGTCTAAAAGTGCCTTGATCTTGGCGTGACCGTGTCCGCGCCGTGGTTAAACCGTGTTCCGGGTATTTGATTGGATGGAGAGTAAATTCTCGTGCAATGTGATTGGTCTGGCGTATCCCTTGCCGTGTCATGGCCGTGTTCGTGCCGTGAATTTTTCACAGTCATACGAAAACTGCACTATACGGCACCGACTTCATTTTGCAGTGATGGACGACGCGTCGTAACTCACCGCTGTCACGTGTTTCAGTTCAACGTTTTTCTTCCTTGCAACATTTTTAATTGATCATAGACAAAGACATTTAGTCTAAGAAACTGTACGTACCTGGTGCTCCGTAATAAGGATGAAGCCTACATTCTTCTGTGTTCACATCGAACTGTTTTATGGCTACTCCAATACTATCGTTCAGTACCGACCTTCCCTTGAAGACAATCTACGGAATAACATCCACAACTATTGGCTATACTTTCGAACCAATGAATAATCTCGAAATACTGATAGCATTATCCAATCTCCGCGCTTGTATTTGAAAATCATTTGCTGCGCTCGACCATCTCAATGATATTTAACGTGTAGTGCAAACATAATCATTTGGTAACGTAGAACTCAGCTCACCTTATAAGCTTCCCATGTTGACACAGGTATCCCGGCTCGTGCCCAGACATCCCCTTGAAAGCCTGACACGGACCATAATAACTGGCTATTATTGGTTCTTGTGACAATGTGAACCTCGATGCTTGATGTTGTATTGGTGCGAAGAAGGTATGAAAACTCTACACAAAAACTGATGCGACTGTAGACTGATTTCCAAGGTAACCATGGTGATTCTAGGGAATAGTTACCTGGAAACGGAAAGTCAACTCCGCCACTACCTAAGGATGAAAGTGGTTATCGGTCATTCACGCCTTCCTTATTCTACTTCCCTCCGTCTCCCCCTTCTCGCTCTCGCTCTTCTCGTACCTCAATATTCCATATCCTTCCTTCTCCTTCCATAAAAATATAAAGAAACTGCCAAAGTAAAGGTTGAGGGAAAAATAACATGTACCCTGGTACCCCTAGTTACACCTCTCCCCACTTCAACTTACTTTTAGATATTCCTAATGCCGTTGAATTATCGTTGGTGTTGTTCCAGGGATATGGAAAATGTTTCCAACCTTTACACAGACCGTCATCAAAGTTGCAGCTGTAAATCTTGGATGCTGTTACGTGAAAGGTAAATAAATGACGCACAAAGTGACAAATAATCATCAGTAGGATGCGCCCTGTAGAGCTATAGAATTGTATGAAATGTCTTGCCACTGCGCGCCCTTATGGTAAGTACATATACACAAAAAATTTTAATAACAATAATGTAATAATAATAATAAGTTTGTAAATCATTAAAAAAAATAATAATAATAATAAAGAATATTTACATTATGTACTTTGTGAAAATTTAAAGAGAAAAAGTTACTATTTACAAAAAACTAGAAAAAAACAAAATGAAAAACAAGCATTATAAAAAA